GAACGGGTACCTGGTGTGGTCCGATGGAGCTCATGAGGTCCGGAGCCCAATCGTGGTCTCGAGGATTCGAACGGGTACCTGGTGTGGTCCGATGGAGCTCATGAGGTCCGGAGCCCAATCGTGGTCTCGAGGATTCAGCCGCTGTAAGATCTTTTTAGTGTGCTTTTACGGTTTTGCCCTTTTCTTCTCGGTCTCTGAGAAAGGTGAAAGAAAAGGTTGAAGGGGTAATGATAAGGGAGTGTGGGGGAACGGGTACCTGGTGTGGTCCGATGGAGCTCATGAGGTCCGGAGCCCAATCGTGGTCTCGAGGATTCAGCCGCTGTAAGATCTTTTTAGTGTGCTTTTACGGTTTTGCCCTTTTCTTCTCGGTCTCTGAGAAAGGTGAAAGAAAAGGTTGAAGGGGTAATGATAAGGGAGTGTGGGGAAAAAGCGGGGGAGATAATGTAATTTTTGTTTTGTTTGTTTTTGTTTATTTTTTTGTTTTGGAGGTAGGATAGGGATTTAGGGGAGTTTGATGTTTAGTATATAATAAATATGAATGAATGAACTATATATGTGATATAGTTTTGGAGTTTGTAACGAAGATAGTGGAGCTCATCACATAATGCCATAAGTAATTTGGTGATGGAAGCATGTGAAGTATCTTTTTGGGGGGGGGGGTTCATAAAAATCCAACTTTTAATCAATTTTGGCGCCTTTTTTTTTCTGGTAAAGATGGTCGTCATTATGTTGTTTTTTCTTTTTCCTTTTTTAAACACACAAATGTTGTTATAAATATTTTTCCAACAACTAAATAGTTTTATATACTATATACTATCGAAGAATATGAATAGGGGCAATTTAGGAATTCTTATTGACCTCAGGGTCTATTTGGTTGGAAAGAGACCTTGAAATCGGTTTCCACCGTCAGTATGGAAATCTATTTACGCTTTCGGTTTCTTTTCGCTAGAAAGTAAGAAGTAGGCTCTAAAAGTTGTAAAAAGCTGTCATCTTTCAACGAAATCCAATTCGAGGGGGTCATGTTTCAGGTGCATCATGAAACGGGGAGCCGACACATCATATGTCTCATATGAGATCCAATGTTTTTGGGTCCCTAAGGTATTTTTATAGTTACTTTTTTTTGTGTGCTATACAATGTAAGCTAGTTCCATCCTCAATTTCTGATTGAAACAAATAAGAGAAGTCAAATTTGAGTAAACTCATGAAATGCGTGGAAATGAGTTTTTCTACTAGTTTTTTATTCTCTAAAATTAATGTACCGCCTAAACAAACAGACCCTTATCGCGTGGATCAACCTGCACATTCCATTAATAAAAGAAAAACAATTTGCACTTTTTTTTTTTACTTAATAATCTCAACCCAAGTGGCGTCGTGGTCAAGTGAAAAGGACCCGCGATCCCAATTTTTTGACCTAATTTGCTCCTCGTGCATTTTCATTACTTTCTTTATTTCCAAATAATACACGCAGCACAAAATGAGCGAGGGGTCAGATTGCGGGACCCACATGGGGTCAAAACTCAGGTCCCTGAGCATCGTCAGCAGCGGTCGGGATTTTTTCCCTTCTCTTTTCAAAAAGATCCGTTGCCGTGGGCCCAGTGTGCTCATGTGCGGTGGGCCCCACGAACAGTTTAAATAATCGAGAAAGAACTTTGTTCGGTACTGTTACATTTCGGTGCATGGTGGGGCCCTGAGCGGTCCAGTTCACAACAGAACGCTGCGCTGATGGGGGACGAAATTATTTATTTATTTATTTATTTTTATTTATTTATTGGCAGATCGATATCTTGTTCATGAAGGAAACAAGGATGTCGTGACACGCTGATGATTTTTTCCTTTTTGGTTATTTTTTATAATAATCCGAGTAAAGCACTCCGGAGTCTCCATGAGATTTTCTGAAAAATAATGGATGGATTAAAATTGATCGTGGTCTTATATAATCCTTTGTCTTTGGATTATCTTCTATCCTATGTAGGATACTTGGTATTTGTCCTACCTGGCAACTAGTCTCCCCCCCTTCTAAAGAATTAGGCTGAGTGGTTTTTGAGAAAATACTTGGCAATGAAGTTATTGTAAATAATATATTTTTGTTTATTTTCATAAACTGTGTTTGGTTAACTGTGTTTGGTTCAACATTAAATTTACAGAAAAGTTTTTTGTAAAATATAGAAATTTATATAATTTTACAGATATTGTTTTTCACTTAAAATGGATGGAAAACACCAGGAAATCTGACGCATATATTAAAAAATTAATTAAGTACACTAGTACCGAACAATGTGATTTCTCATGGGCATCCATCGCTAGTAAGATATTTTTTATAAAGTGATATCCAACCAAACAAAAGAAAAAGAAAGACAACATATTTTCTATAAAGTTAGGAACTTTTTCATACTTTGAACCAATAAAGGAAATAGCAAAAAAGAAGAACTATGATACATACTCTTTGAGTTCTATAAATTTTTCCTACAAACTTTATAGAGATATAAGGAAATCTATATTTTGGGTGTTTTTCTTTTCCTATAACTAGTGTGCTGTCCGTACAAAGCACGGCGATAATTTTTTTCCACGCTACAGTAGTCATGTTCTTAAATGCTGCACCAAGATTTTTTTGGATTGTTATAGTATCCCGCGTTTTTTAAATTATTACAATATACCCGTACTACAGTATTAATGCTATAGTATTTCCAAAGAACACTACAGTTCCCGCTCTGTTACAGTAATTTTTCTTTTTAAATGCTACAGTATCCCGTGCGCTACAGCAATAATACTGTAATATTTGCTGTATCATGAACAGCGAATCTTGGATTCTAACATTTGTATAGAAGAGTAGATTTATATAAATCGAACCCAAACACCCACTAAGTATAGATAGATATTCGACTTTCTGAATGAATTAAAAAAAGATTGGCGATTGAGGCTTTATCCTCGTCAATAGAACTAAAACAGGCCTACGTACAAGTGTGAGATGCGATGGGGTCAATCCAATCCGGCTGTGCTATTTGACTCGCGAGTTGGGCAACTCGCGCCCAACTCGCAGTCACTGACTAGGGGGTGGGCCCTACAAAGCTGTGGGGCCCACCCCCCTAGTCAGTGACTGCGAGTTGGGCGCGAGTTGCCCAACTCGCGAGTCAAAAAGCATTTCGCCAATCCACACTTAATCCTAGTTTCCAGTGCCCATGATGGTGTACAAGTACAAAACTCAACAGGATCAAAATGGCTCTCATCAAAACCGGCACTAAAACAACCATCACCTAAAGATAATTATGAAATTTTGTCACATCCAACAAGATGCTATACGCATGCTGGCAGCCTGGCAGGTCCCTCACCGTTAAAAGTCAATCTACCAAGACCAGTTTAAACCAGTTCAGGTCGCCCAGTACGACCTTAAGATGGGAGTAGAAATATGTTCTGTTTGACTTAATTCTTTCAAGAGAGAAGGCACGGACGAGTGAAAGTGTAGGATGATTTATCCATTTTTTTTTATAATTTGATTTCGAGACCTTTACTTGAGTGGCAGATGCCATGAGAAAGACCCCTCACAGTCACGGGGTCGGATTGGTATCCTCTACTAAGTCATGGTGCCTCCTAATATCTTCTAATGCATATTCACTTTTTATTGCATAGTACCTCCTTGTATTTTGTGCTTATGCGCAAAATAAAAGGTGAAGATGCATTAGAAGATATTAAAAGGCTGTTTGGTTGATGTATTTGGCATTGGGGGTTAGACAGAAAGCCTGCCAAAAGAGCACTTTTGGCAGGCTTTCTGCCCAAAACGCCTCTTTTTAGAGGCGTTTTGGACAGAAAGCCTATCAAAAGTGCTCTTTTGGCAGGCTTTCTGCCCAACCCCCAATGCCAAATACACCAAACAAGGGGCTGTTTGGTTGTTGTTGGTAAAGTTGTGTATTTATGTCACAACTTTGAAAGTTGTTGTCCACCTCATCAATTTTACTTTTATACTTTTCTTTGTTTGTTTTTGATTCCATTGGAATCATAAATTGTTTGTTTGGTTTGTAAATGTAACTTTAATTGTTTCTTTGGAAAGTGTAAAAAGTGGTCCCTACTCAAATGATCATGTTGGTTAGAATTATTTTTTATTATTTTTTCCTGACTTCAATGTCAGCTTTCTCCTAAAATCATGTCTTTTTTTTTATGAAATCACTTTACAAGCCACATCAGCATATGAAATCATTTTACACTATTTTCACAACTACAAACAAACAATTGAAAGTGATGAAAGCTGACAATGGGACCCACTTTTTTACACTTTCCATCCTTTTACATGGTAAAAACATACAACCAAACAGCCCCTAAGAGGCAGCACTATGCCTTAGTAGAGGATCCCAATCCCACGGGGTCTTCTTCAATGCGAAGCACGTGGCTCTTTAAGCCTTTACGAGGGATGGAACGTGCAACTAGACTTTCTTCTTTTTTTTTTTTGGGTGCTTCCTCCGAAAGGATGGCGACGTGTATTTGGAGCCATAATTAACTAACTTCAGCCAACCACGTACAGCATACAGCTGTCTCCTCTGGAAAGGCATATTTAAAAGCCCCTTTTTTGCACCCAAAATGACGAGGGGAAAATATCCGCCCTCGTCCAATTGAAGTTTCTGATCTCTCGAGCAGAGAACAGAATCAATCCCAATCCTCACGCAACCAACTACGTAACATTTGGGGGTAAAAGATATAACCTCACCCTTTGATCATAATATCTTGAAACCTATAAGCTAAGCAAACCACAGCCAATCACACACTAAGCGCAGCAAAAAACAAATCAAGCATCAGAGTTCGGCGCGATCATCGATATCATCTGCTATTTTCATCTAACAAATTAGAGCAGCAACAGTGCCAGGAGCGCTTACAACATGAATTATACCCCATGCAACAACTCGCCAGAAAAAAAACATTGCACGTCTTCACGACAAATACCATGTTAGAAAAAGACCGTGAGGGTTCCCGCTGCTGCTGCTTCACTATGTTAGGATATTTATGAGAAATGTACAGGTACATAAAACCCACGGCCACTGCCTACAGTATTGAACATTGAGAATAAAAGCATTATGAAACAATAAATAATACCTACATTTTTCTATTCTCTATCGCAATCAATCACCGCAATTTATCTACTACTACCATTATTGACCTTTTCATCTCTAATGTCACTCCGACAATGTTACATCGGCTCATCCATGCTTAAGACGGGCAAATTATGTGGACGATAATCCATGAGAATCACCAGAGGCGCCTCCGAGAGATCTGGGGAGCCTATGAAAAATAAATGAACCCCTCAACTCAAATAAGATTTCCATTATGATTCCTTCGGGTTCACCGCCAGGATGTAGGCTGCGATGCAGTCGAGCCATTTTGGCCTTGTGGCACGAAGAAATTCTTAAAATTCCCACTTTCCCTAATTCCTGTGTCTAAAGACAAAAAACCAGAATTCAAATCCAATCCAGACTGGGAAGTCCCTGCCACATTCAACCCTGGATTTGTACTTGAAACATTCATAAGAAAAGGGGGCATCGATGATGATGGAGCGTTTAATACTGGGGTGCTCAGTATCTGAGGTACGACGGTCGCACCTCGAGAATCTACCATATATGGGATGCTCCCAGGAGCATAAAATGGTGGCGGATAAGGCATTGGAGGCCCAATAACAGACCCATTGTACCCATAAACAGGATGTGGAATCTGAGCATATGGCATCACAGGCCTAGATGTCATAGCATTAGCATCAATACTAGGTCCATTTGCCATAAAAGATAATGAAGCTCCATCAAGATAGTCCTTTCTCTCTGAGATTTTAGAACCCATGATAGTAATGACATTGTCCGGTTTAGAGTTGGCATGCATACCTGAGGCCTTTACAGGAAATCTGCTCGGGTTATGAGATCCCATAGCATCAAAATAGCCCGGGTTGTCATTCAAGTCAAAGTCTCTTGTCGATGATGAAGCGGGAGACATGGTTCGGTCGCCATTTTGGGTTGGAAGACTCCAATGAGATGATGATGGAAATGGAGATGTATCCTCTTCTCCGAGACTATTGAGGTCCAACTTGAACTTGTCGACTCTTCTTGAACTGACTTCTGCAGAATCATCCCGAGAATGGATACTAGAGGAAATAGGCTTCGGTTTAACTGACACGTGATCAATTTGATCATCATCTCCACTGTCTGCTACATTCAAATCAAACTCAATTAAATTTGCTTTCCGTTTATGACCAGAAGATGTCTTGTCAGTATCAGGAGTTTTTCGAGGAGATGCTGGACGAAAAGCACTAGTGGCTGCAGAGCCCTTCCAACCGAGTTCACCTTCGAAGCGCAGAGGACTAACAGGCAGAACTGGAGCTCCTTTTGATGCAGAAACAACTATTGGTGCATTAATATTGACAGTGTGGTTAGAAACACAATCAGATTCCTCAACACAAACATCTTCATTCAGATCAAAGGTGCACCTATTTTGGGTAATGGGTTCTGCCATTTCCACATCCTGTTCACATTTACCAGGATCTGTGTTGGTTCCTGCAGTTGTTAAATTATTGTCATCCTTGGTTGATGAAGCATCATCAAGATCTTCATGAGGCGATGAACCTATCCCATTTTGCTTTTCATTTACAGGTTGACCCTTCTGGTCATCAGAACACTGGGGACTCGTGTCCCCTTCTAAATTGTCGTCAGGGGAAGAGCTACAGAAAGGTTCTCTGTAATCAACAACTTCACGTTCAACTTCGATTGCAACCTGCCTTGCAACTTCTAGCGCATCAATTTCTCCATATTCAAGTCCCAGATCCGAGTTTTCATCCATATTATTAGTTGCCTTCTTCTCTGCTGGTTTTGAAAAATCATGCGAAGCAACGGTCTCTATTCTGCTAAAATTCTGCTTGGAAACACTACCAAACATTTTGCCTTCGCGAGTGCTTCCAACTTCTTCCTTTTCGCTGAGAGAAGTCTCTGGATCAGTGTTCATTCTCAGTTTGTACCCGTTACTTAACAGATCTTTAATATCAGGTTTGGAATCCATTTTTCTCAAATACTTTGGTACCACGCAGTCAATACTTGCAGACCTTGGCAGAGCCTCTAGGGTATCTGATGTACACGACTTGAAATCTTTGACATCAAAATTGCAGGATATAGAGCGTCCAGGTTTATGTGCATGTGAAGAAACCGACAAGCCAGAAGATGATGGAAGGTAGCAACTATCAGTTAGCCCAGGATTGGATGTGATATCTCCCTCTGCATCTGCCTCCATCTTTGTATCTTTCACGCTGTCATCTTTAAGCTTGGAAGCATCACAATGGTCGTCAGCAACATCTCCTGGAGCACCTCGACTGCATTTGGCACTGGAGGCAATGTCTGATGCAGGACATTGTGAAGAATCCTCTCTTCCAGTTACTTTCTCCTCACAAGGATTTAGAACAAGAGCAGAAGGCAACACATTTTTATTTTCTAAATTGGAATCTGCAGCAGCCACAATCTCATTTTCTGTTGAAGTTTGCATGTCTTCAGCCTTGTCTAGTTGGGAAGCCTCCACACATCCTGCAACATTTTCTTTTGATTCCTCTGTACAAGTAGAATTCTGAAGAACTGGATATGCTGAGTTCACATCATCTGCGACAACATCATTAGGAATTTTGACGTTGTCGTCTACACATTTTTCTTCTTTATCAATATCTTGTTGGCTAATACCATTTTTTGTTGCATGCTTCCACCTTTCAGATAAAGTTTTTGCCTTTTCCTTGATGTCAAGACTTTTGAATCCAACAAATTGTTCAACGGTTAATTGGATTCCAGAAGCAACTAAGTCTTCCGTGTAGACTGTAAGCCTCTCAAGTGATCCTAACAATGAGTTTAACAATTCTTCAACAGCAAAGTCAGCACCATCACTACTACATTTAAGTGCTCCCTGAAGCCATTGATTGAGGTAGAAAAGCCCATTTAACTTAATGAAATGGTCAAGACAATCTTTGTTTTCTGTGGCTGTTAATGTGCTTGCTACAGTTGACCACTGTCTTGCTGTATCACTGATATTACTAATAACAAAATCCTTCTGCTGTTGCATGATCGATACCAGCTCTTCAACTCTAGCAAGCGATACAAAGCCATTCTTCATTTCAGTAAGAGTAAAGAAATCTTCAAGAGTCATACTGTCTAACACAACAAAATTATCTCATGCTTGTACATGCTATCCGCTGATACCTGAAAATGACCAAGGGAACAATGATGACAATTTATGTGACATTTATCTGCGGTATAAAGTATAAGTTTATCACCTAGCAAAGTCAAAGTTGGTGAAAAGTTTATGAAAACAGTAATGTATGTGTGCTTTTTTAGAACTAGCCCCTTTTTGACGAATAAATTACAGCATGAGGGAATTCATTTGTGTTGAAATAACTACTTGGGATACAACATCTCTCTTCAACTAATTAATCTCGTTCAAACTTTCAAAGGTCATCTAGGAATTATCTCAAGATATGAGAGTAACTGCTTTCCAACTATTTTATGTGGTTACACGTAGTACTCAATCGGAAATATTTGCAGATGAGATGGCTCTAACAAAAGCATTTTACTGATGCATAGGAACTGATGTCACATTGTCTGACAGTTACCTAAAGTTTCTACACCTTGATTATACTATATGACACCACCCCAAGTGGAAGTAGTAACTGGAAGAGCTGGAAAGCTTATTAAACAAAATTGGATGTTATGGCATCTAACCTGCATGGTGTTGAATAAATGAAGGAAATAGTACTGACAGACACGTCTAAACCTTGTTTATACAAAACTGAGACCAGTTTCAATGAAAATATTTAACTGTAAGAAGATATGAACGTATTAAAGCTTGCAACTCTTTGAACAGTTACCCCCAGCATATTCAAAATCATCGAGACTTAAAAGCTCCTACTCAACCTTTCATAATCTCAGCTGCAACTTGAAGGAAGACCATTTAATAAAGTGGATGGATGGTTGACGGGTGTTATTTGATGTTTGAAGCTTTTATGAATTTATAATTTATTCATGCAAGTAACGTAATCCTGAAACCTTAATTGGATGAATAACACAACTGAACCACATATGAATACCTTGTGAACTGTAATGATTTTAAGATGATAAATATTGTCATTGCATTTTGTAGAGCTCTGCTCCACCAGCTTTTCATTGTGTCTTGGTTATTTCCATAGTTTTTCATTTTTCATTAATTAAATTTGCAAACTTTTTATAGTGCCCAAATTGGATTAGAAGAAAATTGACCAATACAGATCGAGCCTATAAATTTCTTTCTAATCCCATCCTATAAAGCTAACTAGATGAAAAATAAATAAATAAATAAAAGATTATATACAATTAACCCCCAAATCTATCCTGTTTAAAGATATACCCCCAAATCTGACTATTTGCAAATTTACCTTCACCATCCTTCGCATTGGGTTAAAATACCCTCTTATCTTACACCGTTAGTTTTCAAACAGAGTAAGAGTACCGACTCCTCTCGACGTCACCGAATCCCACAGCAATCCCGTTTCTCTCCCCTTTAACCTTACCCCCCAACCCCCCAACCAAAAAAAAAGTTTGTTAGCTACCACCCTTCCCTCTCTCTGTCTCACTCTTCCTATCTCTAAACATAATTGGAATTTAATTTAGTTTTATTAATTTAGGGGTATAGCAGTCTTATATTATGATAGCCATTTAATTTAGGGATATATTAGTCCCATTTTATAATTGCCATTTTAAAAGAATATGGAGGAATATACTAGTTATATTCCCTAACAGAAAAATCTGGGGTATTTCAACCCAAAGTAGTAGGGTCAAGTTACCAAATAATCAGAAAGGGAGCAAGTCTGTAAACAAGTAGACTTGGGTGTATATAGGTAAAAACACATAAGAGAAACATGATCCTATTAAGAAAATTAGTCAAGGAACCAAGTAGCTCATGTGAAAACAGCCTATGAAGTAGTATAAATTTCAGGACTACACAAGAACAATGAAGATATAGGGAACAACCAAATGACAAATAAGTCATATGACCCATAAGTTTAATGTCAAAGACACAGGGCTAACAAGAAAATACTAAACCAACAAACAAAGCGCAGCATTCAAGACTAAAATAAAGAATATTTAAAGTTGATAGTTGTCATGTGAGCTAAATTAGTTGAAAACCTGTAACAGGAAGCCATGGATTGACATAACTAAACAAGTACAATATAGTTAAATTCCAAATGTTTCAAGTAACAAGTATTCGGAAGATACATAGCCAAAATTATTGATTTCTCCCAAATCATGTGGTATGATTGTATAAAGAAGAAATAACAAAGAATAGAAGGTCAAGGCCAATGCTCCAGGTAACATGTTTCGGGGAAATCAAATATAGAAATATCATTTTTCCCGGATAATGTGATATGACGAAGAATAAACATAGAATGCAAAGGTCAAGGATGTGCGCGCGCGAACGCATGCAGACTGGGGACAGGTGTGTGCGCATGTTTGTATCTATATAATCCCTAATAAAAATAAAAGGTCATAACAAAAAATCAAAAGACATTGTGCAAAAGGAGACTGATGCAGTACAACTGAAGCGTAACTGACTTCAAAAAGCAGAAAAGGAAAGAAGTCATGCAAGTACACAACGAAGTTACCAGGAACAACGCTTTCTTGTCTAGTAGACAGCAACTATGCACATGTCAGAATAAATCCTCCTCAAGCCATACTGAAACAATATTCCATAACAAAAAGGCAAAAGTTCGAAAGAGAACATCATGTATCATGAAGTAAAAACGTAAAATGCATATTGTACCCTAGCAAAAAAAGGGCATATTGGATTAAACAAGCCAAATACGTTATGAATAGGGAAACCTAAAATCAAACTAAGTTATGGCTCAATTAAAATGTGGGACATGAAGGAAAAAATAAGCCTTCCTATCCTTCACCTATCTAGAACGACATTAATGTCATCAAAAGTTTCTACTATCTAGGCCTTTTTTTTAGCAGAGGCAGCAGGGAAATTCTGTTCATATGGACAATATAAGCGATTTGATCCTAGAATGGTCTCCCAACAATATAAGAAACTTAAAGATACTAGGGTCTAATGCTCATTGACATAGTTACTGAGAACTATTTTTTTTTAATGTGATATCATCAGAACGCATCTGTTAGTACCTATATCATTACAATGCAACTATCTATACTTCCATTATATAGACTCTTGCAATATATGCAGAGAAGGGAATCCTAGCCTCATGGTTTTATCTGCAACTTAAATAATTCACTAAGTTGTAGTGAGTGAATTTGCTTGTGAAAGCATCATTCAGACCCCTATTTAATCAGGCCTAGCTAATTAAGCCTTGAGTTACACAATTCTAAGACTACGACCATAGGTCGGACCAATTTACCTTAAATAAAACTAGACTGAAATATGCAAATTATAACTAGTGGAAGATTATGTGCCTAGTTTAATTACAACTTACAAGGTTTTCTAAAGGGGTGTTTTACACACATAAAAGCTGGAACTTGTGTGCCTTAATTCAGTTGCGAAGTGTAACAACTTCCCCAAACTAAACTAAGTCGCACATATAGAACATTATGTGCTCCGATAATTCAAAAGAAGTTGAATCACTTTTTCTTAATATTTGTAGTCATTTCCTATCACCACAAGTATAATGTCATAATTACCAAATCCAATTAATTTGAGGTCACAACAAAACAAGTTTCCTCAGATCTAAAAAGGGTAGGGCGAAAGATGCAAACATATACAAGTCCAAAATGCTCAGTACTCATAACTTCCAATTGCGAAACTTACCCATTCCAAATCGAAATCATACAAATCGGGTAAAGATCTTTTTTGAAACTTTATACTCCAAAATGACGTAAACCTCACCACAACATAGCACTTCAATCATAGCATATGCACTTACGCTTGAAATCAATTCCAATCAACCTAAATCCCCACACCTCGTGCAGCACCGTCTAAATAGTCATTCAACTCTACTTTCGCAGCTATTTTCTAAACTACCACTCGATAACACTTTCACGTTCTCAGTCTTCGAAACAAAAAAAGATTAAGGATTTGCTCCATAACATCCTCCGCAAAGACTAACATATCAAAAGGTAATTAATTGTCACGGGAACAAGGAAATCATAATGCAAACTACAAACCAAGTGTTCTAAAATATCATCACAAATACAGTTCAGAAATCAACTGTTCTCAACCAGAAACAACTAGTTCTGATAATCCCCCGCCCTAGTTCAAGCAGCTTTCCCCGATCCAAAATTTTTACCAAAACCCTAAATAATTCTCAGTATAAGATCACAACCCCAAAAAAAAACGAAATTTTCTACACGACAGGCACTTCAATTTCCAAGAACCTAGCAGGATTGAAGCCCTAATTCACAGCAGAGAAACACCAAAATCGAGGTGAAATTGCAATAGAAAAAAAAAAGAAAAAAAAGGGGAATCGAGGGGGAATTCTAAAAGAGCCAACCCTACCTCGACTCGTGCTTCGCTATCGCAATAAAAGCTAGAGAGAGAGAGAGAGAGAGAGAGAGAGAGAGAGGGGGAAAGGATAAAGAATCAGCGTGCAAAGATCTATAGTATTCGAAAAAGATAGAAGACGATAACAGAATAAAAACAGGAAGAAGCAAACGATTCTAAGGACGATAAATTCGTTAATAATTCGAAATTGAGCGGCGTATGATTTACCCGAATAGATCGTCGGCCGGAAGCAGGAAAAACCCTAGAATCTCTCTCTCTCTCTCTCGCTCAACAAACTTCGCTTTCAGAATTCAGGCCTGAGCGCAGTCTCTCTCTCTCTCTCTCTCTCTCCTCACTTCCTTTTTTTTCCCTGCTTTAATTATGTTTTAAGGGGCTGTTTGGTTTCCTGTTTCAGCCCATGAAAACTCATTTCCTGCTCTGTCATTCAGTCCAGCTAGGAAAACTCATTTCCTCTGGAGGGGTTATTGGTTGGGATATTTTGGGGATAATGAGATAGTTTTGATGATTCTATTTCATAGTGTTATTCATTAGGACAATAGAATAAGGATAATAATTTTTTTTGTTATTGGTTTTTTGGAACACTAGTGAGACAATTACACCACTTGGGATAAAAGTACCCTACTCATATACAAAAAATTTGTCCCAATAGTAAAAATTTACCCCATCCTTCGTATTGAAACAATGTTGTTCCACTTTAAAACTTTAAAATATTTTTGTATTACTTAACTAATACATGCAGTTATATTATAAATATATGACATGATATATAAAATATAACATATTTTAATATTTTAATAATATAATTTAATAACATATATTAATAATATTATATAATAGTAATTATATTATAACGTATTTATTATAATATTATATAATATTGTAATAACATATATTAATAATCTTATATAATAACATATATTAATAATTTAATAACATATATATAATATTTTAATATCATATATTAATAATATTATGTAATATATTATGTAATATATTAATAATATTATGTAATATTTTAATAACATAAATTAATAATAATTTAATAACGTATTTATTATAATATTATATAATATTTTAGTAACATATATTAATATTTTAATAACATAATTTAATAACATATATTAATAATATTATATAATAACATATATTAATATTTTAATAAAGCATATATAATATATTATTACATAATTAATTTATAAAATATTATTATAGTTATTATATATGACATAATATTATAATATAATATAATAATTATAATATTAGTAAAATTATTAATGTAATGCAATATAATAATACAGTTTGAAATAATATAATATATTAACTATAACATGATATCTTTAATATATATTATTTTAATACATATATGTTATATTATTTTTAATTTTAATATAAACATTTTAAAAATATTACAATTGATAAAGTAAAATATTTATAATTTTTTTAAAAGTATATTGTATCCTATGATACTATATTATAATATATTAAATTAAATAATATATTATAAAATATTTATATATACATATTATTCATATATTATATTAATTATTATATAATGTAGCATACTAATATAATGTTTAATTAGTAATTATTGTATAAACTCTTATATTTTGTATAAATAAAATAATATATTATAAATAAATATTATATTATAAAATATTATATTAAATATATTGATATTATATTATATTAATTTTATATATAGTATAGCATGCTAATATAATATAATATAATACAATATAATAATTAATAATATTAATTCGTAAGTATAATATAAATATATTATATTTTAATATAAAGTAAAATAATTTTTATATTATAATAATATATTAAACCAATTGGATAAGTTAATTTAGGAGTAATTAATAGACAAAATTATATTTTAATAAGTTATCATATCATCAATTATCCCACATGAATTGTCAAATCAAAGGCTCAAATTATCTCATTATCCTACTTTATCCTATTTTACTCCACCCAAAATATCCCAAAGAGTTAAAATTGTTTCCGCATTGGAACAATTCCTCCATTTGGCTACAATTTATCCCAACACACCCCCCCCCACCCAAGTTTCATTTCATAGCTTTGTTTGCGCAGGGCCCATAAGGGGCTTAGTCAAATAAAATTCAAAACTTGAAGTAGGATAATTTGTGGGATGCTATTTTATAACATTAGTCAATTAGAACTAAAACTAGAATACAATTTTATACTCTAAAACTAGAATTTGGATAATTGCACAACATTGTCCCACTTTTTTCATTTCCCTATACAAAACTAAGAGTTCTAGTCTCTCAAATTATTCCAAGTATTAGCTTAGAACTAGATGGTAAAACACTACAACTCCTATTTATTTTGTTATTTTTTATATTTTATATTTTTTTTTTTACTTCTTTCCTTTTATGGTTATCACCATCATTATAATAATTGTCAATATTTTATAGCCTCACCAAAAGTTATTTAATAGTAAAGAACATTCTCGTAAGCAATTATCAATCAATAATAGCAAGTTTAAAAATATTAAATAGTATTTAGATCTTCAAAATGCATAAATATATACTTCATGATTATAAATATTTATCCCACATTATTTTATCAAAATATCCCGCTTCACAAAATTATTCCTATTTATCCCACTAAAATATCCCACTAGTAAAAATTTATTTTACTTTAAAAATTATCCCATTTTACATGAAAATATCTCAATTGATTAACACCCATGAGCACTTGAAAACCCCTCCACGTAAGCAATTGTTTTTTCCCCGATTTTCGTCCAAAACAAGCCAAAATAGGCTGAAAATCACATTTTTGAGAAGTAAAAAGTAACCACGTCACGTGTTTTCTCCTGCCAACATATTTTGGGAGAAATCGTTCGATGACTAGGGTTACCGCTCCTTTTTTTTCCCAGTCGCTTATCTTCACACCTCCACTCCTCTCAAAAGGTAGAACCCTAAAGCATTTTTTCACTCCTCCACTCGTCTTCCTCTTGTTCTATTTTGTGATTTACATGATTTATGATTGCTTTTTGTTGGTTCTCAAATCATGTTTGGTATTTTCAGGTTCGATGCGATTTTCCATGTCATATAGATATTTATGAATAATCAGATTGTTTGTAGTTTTTTACATGTCTCATAAGAAATTTTCACTAATTCAGGTGCGCATTTCATAAAATTACGAATAATCATGTTATTATAAGTTTTATTTCATGTCAAACAGGTTTCATGTGATTTTTTCATGTCAAACATGTATTTTTCATGTTAAATCAGTTACGTAGTTCATAACAGTTACGATAATCATGTTATTACATGTTTCGTATGATTTTTATGTCAATCAGATATTTATGATAAATTCGGCTATTTACAAATTTTTCATGTTATATTTACACTTTTATTTTGGTAAGATTACCTCCCATAACGATCACAAATAAATTTGTCTTTAGTGAGTGGTAAACTTACCATGGTGACCATATATACTTTTCCCTATACACTCTAATACCAATCAAACACAAGAAAAGTGTATACATTGATTTCCCATCATGTTTTATGTGTGAACCAAACCCAAATAATCTATTTATTGAAAAACTTAAGAAAACCAAAACTTGAGCTTTTTCACATAGAATTGTGTTTCCCAACACATGTGAAACGAACCAAACAACCCCTTAGAGTGTTCTTTTTTGGAAACCACCCCATACCGTGTAAATTTTGTGTAGGTGTTCCGTTTTAGTCCCTTACCTCTCTGATATTTTTAGATTAGCCCATTAAATCATTGAAGTTGCTATTAGGCTCCTGAGCCTAGGTTGTTTTGAAAGTAGTCCGAAAAGTCATTGAATTATTGCAAAATTGTTGTGTTTGAATTTGGAATTGTTTCTGATGTAGCAAAAGCGTAATCGAAAGAAAGAGGACTTGTTTTTATACGAGCATGACAACATGAACCCTAGAAACTCTACGAAAACAACACCTTCTGAAATAATAATTATAATCAAGCTTAAAAAGAATACATGAATTAGTCCCCCTTATATAGGATATAAAAATAATGCCAAAATACTGAACTACTCTTTCCTAATGTAAAAAGACTTCCTATAGTTAAAGAACTTCATAAAAACTAGGAACTAAAAGAGACAAAAACACTCTGAGTCGAGATTTGAGCCTGAAGACAATTTCCTTTGACCTTAATAGAGATCAAAGTTGTTTATGGTGTAGAGCACTTCACAAGCTTTTCGAAAATATATTATAATAACGATTGTATAAAGGAATCAAAAGTTATCCATCAAAGGTGCGCGTTAAAATCTTTCCAAAAATCTTCTTCTTTTATTGGACCTTCCAATCTTTGCACAATTAAAATTCTCTCTGAATGCATGAGCAATGGCCTCCATATCATTTCTAACAATAGATTGAACTACGCATGTTTTAAAACATTTACTTTCTTCATTGCTCCAAACCGAACGCTCTCCTATAGTGATCTAATATTTTAAATTTCGGACACATGCTTAATTTACGCTTGTACATAATTCATACTCTATGTTCAATGTATAAATTACAAATTAATTAACTAGGTTTATTTCAAAAAACACATTGAGCTGTTGTTTGTGAAGGCTTATTTTACCTTATAAGTTACTATCGTGTACCCTGAGCAAAGCACGACCCTCTGTTTTTTTAAAGTATTGCATTTTGAACCTATCTCCCTTTAAGGTTTAATATATTTGATTTGATTATTGTATGTTTAAAATTATAAATCATATCTCCTGTCTATACTCAAAAGGGTATTATTCGTGATGCAGTAAAATACTGTAGCATGAACAATAAATTTACTCCTCCATACCGAGAGGACCCAAAGATTTACTGTTCTTACCATAGTAATTTATTGTAGTATTTGTTATAGCATGAACAGTAAATCTTGGATTCTCCTTTTAAGTATAGAGGAGTAGATGCTAGCTTTTAGTGGCTTTTGGCTTCTATAATAAAAATGCTTTAAAAATTATTTGAATAGTATAATAATTTATTTAGTCAAACCTAGCTTATGTAGGAGAGCTTATAAGTTTATTTTTCAAAATATGTGGTATACCAGCTTTATAAAATTTGGCTTATAATCTAACTTTTTTAATATTTCACCAAACATATAGAAATGAAAAAAACAGCCCAAAACGCCCTTAGATCTCATCCAAGCTCTTTACTTTTTTATTGTGATTAAACAATTTATCGCCACCAATTAATCATATTGGATCTAGATCGATGAAGACCCCGAACTTCATAAACTATTGTTTTCTGCTAATTGAACTTGATTATATACGATTATTCAATTAAAAAAAGGGTTATATTAAATCAATAAATTCAATAGAAAGGGTTTACTC